AAAGGAAAAAAAAAAAAAAAAAAAAAAAAAAAAAAAAAAAAAAAGAGGCGACTGCAGTAAATAAAGCAGAAAAATACTGATGTCATGGAAAGAAGTGAATGGTGGTGTTTGGTGACTGTCTTGGTCCTTTTTGTGCTGCTATAACAGAATGCCAGAGACTGGGTAGTTAATAAAGAAAAGAAGTTTGTTTCTCACAGTTCTGGAGACTAAGAAGTTCAATATCAAGGTACTGGCATCTTGTGAGGTCCTTCTTGTGGCATCCTCCCATGACAGAAGGCTGAAGGGCAAGAGAGCTTATTTATGCAAGAGAGAGAAAGGGGGTCACACTCATCCCTCTATCAGGAACCCACTCCCACAATAACTAACCCACTCCTGCAGTAACAGCATTAATCCATTCATGAGTGCAGAGCCCTAAGGACCTATTTACCTCTCAAAGATCCCACCTGTCAACACTGCTGCATTGGGAATTGTTTCCAATGTGTGAACTTTGGGGGATACATTCAAACCATAGCAGTGACTGATTGAAATAAGGGTAGGAGAAAATGGGAGGTCAAGGAGGCTTGGAAGAAAGATGGGTTTCATTTTATATAACGTGTAGAACAACCAGCTGAGGGTTTGCTTTAGAGCAGGGTTATCCAATAGAATATTCTGTGGTTATCAAAATGTTCTGTACCTGTACTGTCTAGTGTGATAGTGCAGCTGAGGAACTGAATTTTTCATTTTAATAACCACATATGCCTTGTGGCACCATATTTAATAGTGCAACTTTAAAGTATTGGATATTTAGGGGTGGAATTCAGGAGACAGACCCAGTCACATCATAGAAATTTGGAAGTCCTTAGCAAAAACAGATTAGAAATTGGAGCCATGGAAATGGATGGGACATCCAGGGAGAGTGATATGGAATCCATGGTCTTAGGGTCTTTCTCTGGTAAACAGAAATGTCTTGATGATGGGAGGGATTGACACACAGTTATCCAAAACCATTGTTAGGGCTTGCTTCCTACTGGGATGTGGCACTAGAATGCTAAGTTAATTTATGCCTGTGGCCCTAAATGATTCTGCCTTCTCACTAAATCATTCTCTCTTACCACATTTTTTTAAGGATCCTCTAAACCCACCAGTGAAATCTATTTTCTGTCATAGGTTTCATTCTTCCTCTCTCTCCACAAATAATTTCACAAGATTTTTAAAGGGAAGAGCATAGCATAGCAAAATCTTCTGCAAGATTTTGAGCTTCTTATTCTTGTTTTTAACATAGACATGTACATTAGTAAGCTTATTTTGACCCAGGATGCTAAAATAATCTCATGATGCTAAAACAATAACTCTTGTTACCCCAGTCATTTACTTTCAGAACTTTGAGTAAGTGCATAAGGGAATTTCTGAGAAATATCTCAGAAGTAAAATGATTTCCTTCCAAGGTTTCCTCAGAAGTGGAGACGTAAAAAAGGACTGAGATTTTTTTCCTCAAGCCATAGTTTTCTTGGTTATAGAACTTCTCTTCCATGTCTCAAAGGTTGTGTTCTGTCTGCTCCTTGTGTTACCGTTGATGCCCGTTTATTTGTGTAACAGGTAGTGAATTTTGTTTCTTTAGGGGCCACACTGTGAAGGCGGTATGTGAGTCATTTAACCTGGCCAAAGATTCCGGCTTCAAAGTTGTAGCTCACATGATGCCTGATCTGCCAAATGTGGGACTAGAGAGAGACATCGAACAGTTCACTGTAAGTATTGCCTTCAGCCCGGCCCATGCAAGATGCCTCTGCATGCTTCTTATCCCTACTCTGCTCTTGTGGTTGGTGTACTGTTGATTTTTTTCCATTATTAAAGCAGTACATCTTCATTACCGAATATTAGAAACAGTAGAGAAAGAGAAGTCACCCACAGTCCCAACATCAGATAAAACTCTTAACTTTTTTTTTTTTTTTTCCTTTTTGTCGTTTTTACTGACCGGTAACGGGATCGCAACCCTCGGTGTCGCGCCTGTACCGGGGACCGGGAACGGGATCGCAACCCTCGGTGTTGCGCCCGCACCGCGCTCAACCAGTGAGCGGGAACCTGTCTCCACATGGGATCCGAACCCTCGGCGGCAGCGCCGCTGCACTCCCAAGCAGTGCACTCACCAGTGCACCACCGGGCTGGCCCAAAACACTAACATTTTAATATATTCTTTCCAGGTTTTTTTTTATGCCTAGGCCTTTTCAGGGGCAAGGTTGTTTATGCACATACAACACAGGCACTTTTACTCTTACATGTATATGAGGTAGATAATTCTTCTAATAGCTTTTTCATATCATTATAACAAGCATTTATCTATGTTGTAACCTGGTCTCTGTTAACATGTTAACATTTTTAAATGTCTGTTTAAATTAATATGTCATGCATGGCTTAACCACTTCTAAATATTTCAAAATTTAGGATATTACCAATTTTTGATATTATGAATAGTACTGCACAACTTTAGTATTTAGGTTTATTTCTTTATGATAAATTCCATGGAAGAGAATTATCAGGTTAAGATATAAATACTGGGCTGGCCTGGTGGCGCACTGGATAGTGCGCCGCTTGGGAAGCGCAGCGGCGCTCCCGCCCGAGGGTTCGGATCCCACATACAGACCGGTTCCCGCTCACTGGCTGAGCGAGGCGCGGGAGCAACTCCGAGGTTTGCGATCCCGTTGCCGGTCCCTGGTCTGGTACGGGGGCAACACTGAGGGTTGCGATCCGTTGCCGGACACGGAAAAAGACAAAAAAGACACACACACACACAAAAAAAAGATATAAATACTTTAAGAACCTCACTATATTACTAAGTTGATTTCCAGACAGCTGTAACAATATACACTCATTTCAGCACGGGTGTCTTTTTCCCCTGATAATTCTCTTCTGTTTATTTTTTATAGATACATATACATACAGACATTTATACATGTAGTATTTTTATCTTTGAAAATTTGATGGATAAAGTGCCATTTTAACTTGCATTTGGAAATTGTAGTAAATTGTATTTACTAGTTACGTTTCTTTCATCTTTTTGGAATCGTGTTTTTATCTGCTGAGCAATTTACTCTATTGTGATATGAATATTTTTAATGTGAATTTATATGAACTTCTTAGGTAATGTCATTATGGACTTACTGTTTTTTACATTTGTTGCAGATATTTTCCCCAAGCTATTCTTGGCCTTTTACTTTTGCTTCTGTTGTCAAATCTGTCTTTTTTGTTTTCTTCAGATGCTTGGAAAGTGTAGAACAGCCTTCCTGTTTTCTTCAAACCTTTGTGTTTTTTGAATTTTAATACCTAACTGCAACTCTGTTCTTTTTTCTGGTTGTTTTTCTTGTGGGTTTTTTTTTTTTTTTCTTTTTTTTTTACTCTTCTCACAGTTCTTTAATCCATGTTAGCTTTGTCTTGGGTATTGAGATTGTTCAGGGCCTTTGCTTTTTCTTCAGATTTTCAGATAGGGGAAGTGTGTTTTAGGGCTGTCCTTTTGGAGAAGGTGATAACAATATTTATCAAGTTATTTAATCAATAAAAGTACTTTTATTTTACTCTGTTTACAAAAATGGAGTTTATTATGCTTATTTGTGAAGTTAATAATTCTTTCTTTTCTTTTAAAAAGTTTATTTTATTTTTTAATCTAATGGACTGCCACTGAAGACCTGTTTATAAGACAGCATTAATCCACAGACATCCCTGTTAGCAGTAACCCCATACTGGTTGTGTAATAATTTTGAGTGTAGTGTCTTCCCCTCAGTAACAAATAGCCACTTACTCATGACACCAAGACTAAAAGGCACCTGAAACACACTTTGCTCTAGCACAGCTCCTAGGTGGACCAGTAGTATAGCCAGAATTCATAAACTTTAAGTGCTCTTGAAAAATGTGGTATGTTTAATACCATAGCAAGTAATAGCAAATAGCTGAGTCTCACTATTCATTTTCTTTAGTGTCTTCAAAATAAGGGATAGTCCAATAACAATATTGCAAAGACAACCCTTCATGTAAACAGGTTTACCTACTTGCTTGTAATCTTTTCAGAGAAACCCACAAGGATTATTAGCAGACCATATTCCTTTTCTAACTGCATCCCAGTTAATGATTGACAAAATGGAGCTAAAATGAAAAATCTGAGTTATCTCTATGGAAAAATTTTCTGAAAATTACTGTAATTCTCTGTAGTTAGATATTACTACTTCATACTCACCAGAATGTCTAGCATTTAAAAGACAGTATCAAGTGTTGGTAAGAATATAGAGCAACTAGAACTCTCATTTAACTGCCAGCAGGAATGTAAATTGTACGTCCATGTAAGAAAACCATTTGACATCATTTGCTAAAGCTGAACATACACATGCTCCATGAGCAAGACAGAGAGTTCACTAGTCAGTGTGCTAGCTTTTCCCTGTTTTCAGCCCTGATCCTCCCCCAGGCCTTCCTTTGTATCTGGAATCTCAGAGGCCATAGGCTCTCTGGTTTCTCCAGGGCATAAATCTCATCTCCTGGTACAGAAAAGGCTAAGGAATAGGGATAAACCTCTTCATGTACAGACTCAGATCCAGTGCCCCCATTTTTATTTCTGTCTCTCTCTTTCATCCTGCCCAGTTTCGGGTACTTCTGATTCATGAGCCTTTCTGGGACTCTGGTGTGATTGAGCTGGCCTGTCATTGGTATCTCCTTTTGCAGATACTTTGCAGTTTTCTTCACTTGTAGTCACTGACCAGTCTTCTGTCCGTTTTCTGTCTTTCAAGAAGTTGTTGCCATCGCTGTCCCCCTCTTAACTCCTTTCTTGTTCTCTCTGTTCTTCTAGGTTTATACTTCTTTAAAAATTCTTTCCTGTTGCTTTAGTGTCATTTGGAGGGAAAAGACAGAAACACATATTTTAATTCTCCATGTTTAACCAAAAGTCCAGAACTAATTCAATCTATCTTCATTCTTACAAAAGGAATATACATATCAGCACGTATGTTGCCTAAACTTATACTGGAAGCACTTTTCTGAAGTCCCATGTTCAAATGCGGATTCAGTCTAGGTGGAGAATGGATCACATACGTGCTCTTTGTGGATGGCTACTGAATATTTATTAAAGACCCAATGAATCTTTAAAATATAAATGTTATAGGCAAAATCTCACAATTACAGAAGAATATCTCTAAGACCAAATGGTGCCCAAAGAATTCAGGGTTAAGAATGCAACAAAAATCAATGCGAGTGATTGAAAAGTGTATGGGTACATTTCTTTGAAAAGCAAGTTAAACAATGGAAAACTTTGCAGGAATAGTATAGTGGAACATAAAAAGCATTTTTCCAGTTCATAATATGTAGCACTGCAGGCTGGGTAGATACTGATGTCAAGGTGGAGATGAGTCCACCTTCCTTGCTCCAGCACATAGCATGTAAAATCAAGATTAGAGCAAATTATCAGTGCAAAATCATGGAAAGGAGAATGCCTGATGTCTCCTTGCTACATCCCAAATGAAGAAATAAGATAGCGAGCTGGGATGACATAGGACTAGCAGTGACGATGCTAGCAGTAGCTGAGTTAGATGTATTGCTCAGTGTCCAGATAAAGATGGACAGTGTGTGGCCCAGGTTAAGAATGGTGCCGTTTGGCCTGAGAACAAATTAGTTATATCTGGGGATAAGCAAACTTTTCCTGTGAAGAGCCATACCCATGTAGTAAACATTTTAGGTTTTGTAAGCCAGGTGATTTCTGTCATATCTTTTTAAAAGTTCAAACAATTAAATGTACTCCTTTATTAAAGGAGGATATAGTCTAGAGGTGAAGGCAGACATTGAATAAACTGTCAGTGTGATGATGTTAAGAAAGGGGTAACACGGGTTCAGTGGAACTTTTTTTAAGTGGGGCAGCTAACATTCGAAGGTAAGGATGGCCTTTCTGAAGAAATGGCATGCAAGCTAAGACCTAAAGATTAGCTAGATGAGGAAACACTGGTAAACTCTCCAGGCAGAGGAAGCTGCCTTTGCAAAGGCAGAAAGGCAAGGTGGTGAGAGGTGGCATGAGATGGATTACAGCCATAGACATGCTGGACTGGGCAGCCTTGTCGTCCAGTGCACACCCGTTTGCTCCAGTGAGACTATGAAAATGATGAGTTTCAGTTCTGTTGGCATTCCCTCCCTCTGGAAAAGAGAGGCAATCCAAGCCTGCTGAGTGTGAGAGAAGCTGGCCCAGGATCCAGACTTCACCAGGGAAACTTCTCCATGACTAATGGAGAGAGAAGTAATTTTCTGCTCTCTTCACAGGAGTTTTTTGAGAACCCTGCTTTTCGTCCTGATGGTTTGAAACTCTACCCTACCCTGGTGATTCGCGGAACTGGGCTTTATGAGCTTTGGAAATCAGGAAGATATAAAAGTTATTCTCCTAGTGACCTGATTGAATTGGTGGCTCGGATCCTAGCCCTTGTGCCTCCATGGACTCGAGTGTACCGTGTGCAGAGAGATATTCCAATGCCCCTAGTCAGCTCAGGAGTAGAGCATGGTAATTTGAGAGAGCTGGCATTTGCAAGAATGAAAGACCTTGGAATACAGTGTCGAGATGTGAGAACCAGAGAAGTTGGGATTCAAGAAATTCATCACAAAGTACGGCCATACCGGTCTGTATGTGGGATCTGAACCCTTGGCGGGAGCGCCGCCGTACTCCCAAGTGGCGCACTGTAGTAGTGCGCCACCGGGCCGGCCCTATCTGTTTACAGTTTCTAATGGAAGTAGTCTGATTTCATGTTGAGGATTTTGAATTTTATTTTTAATTGGATATGTGGAATGCTGTCTGTAAATAGAGAGGGATGGAAATGAAAGGACAGCGTGCCAAGCCACTTTGCCAGTATCATATCATGTTTATTCATTTGTCCATTGTTCTTGTTTTTGGCTGCTGGCTGGTATGGAGATCAGAACCCTTGACCTTGGCGTTATCAACACCCCATTTGTTCGTTAGCCTACAGAGGGCAAATAGACACAGCGTTTGCTTCTGAGCGGCTTATGATGTAGATCAGGATTTCTTCTTCCAGGTCTCCTTCAATCTAAATACAGTAACGTGTTTGAAAAGAGGAAATGTAGCTTTGTGTCTCTTCCCTGTTCTAGAGCCTCTGAAGGAAAAGGAAAGAGTTTATCAAGGATATAAAATAACAGATGTGCTTAGAAGTCAAAGGACATTTACACCATACTTCTGCCACAGCATATTAATTTCTCAAAATTTTTAAATCATGGGCTTAACTTTAGGATCTAAATTGCTGATATAATTTCTATTTTTTAAAAATGTACCCCAAAATACTAAGGAGATATTGAATAGAAAACTCAGCTGTTAAAATCATTTGCATTGATCTTTCCCTTATTTTTCATCCCTTCTGGAACAATTTAGTCCAAAAGATATTTGGTAGGGCTAAGCAATGTAGGTGTCCACATGGGATAGATTGGATACCACAGGACCCCTGAGCGAGGTGAGATAGTCACTCACGTGGAGGAGGCAGTGGCCTGGCGCAGGCTGCTGAAGCCCAAAGGTGGTAAAAAGGGCATTCATTCCCACAGAGGCTGATCTGGTACAGGATGTCAGCAAGTGTAGAGGACATCGGGGGGAGGAGGGATGCAGAGAAGAGAGGACGACAGCAAAAGACTGGTTACTTACAAGGGGTTGATCTAATCAGTATATATATATATTAAGGATAATGGGTGCAAGAGTTTTTGTTATGTGAGAAGGCAAATACAAATGTGAGAAAGGAGAACATCAGAGTGAACTCTGTGGTGTTTTGGAATAGGAGATATTGGTGTGAACTCATAATTTTCGACATATAGGTAGATATAGAAGTAAGTGTAATAAATAGTAACACAGTCGGCCCTCTATACCTGCAGTTTCATTTCTGCAAATCCAGCCACCACGGATTGAAAGTATCCAGGAGACAAAAATGGATGGCTGCATCTTTTCTGAACACGTACAGAGTTTTTTCCCTTGTCATTATTCCATTATTTCCTAAACAATACAGTATTACAAGTATTTACATAGCATTAACATTGTATTAGGTATTGTAATTAATCTAGAGATGATTTAAAGTAGACAGGAGAATGTGCATAGGTTGTATGCAAATACTGTGCCATTTTTATAAGAGAGTTGAGCATCTGCAGATTTTGGAATCTGAGGGAAGTCCTGGAACCAATCCCCCATGGATACTGAGGAACGACTGTAAATGTAATACCTGTGTGTGCGTGTGTGTGTGTGTGTGTGTGTGTGTGTGTGTATCCTGGAACCAATCCCCCATGGATACTGAGGAACGACTGTAAATGTAATACCTGTGTGTGCGCGTGTGTGTGTGTGTGTGTGTGTGTGTGTGTGTGTGTGTGTATGTGTGTGTGTGTGTGTTTTATAGCAATGAGCATTCTTAATTTCCAGATCTTGATTTCTAAATACTCTTCTCCACTAAAAGGAACCTGGGCTTCTTGAAGAAATGGCTGATGGCAAGGTACAAGATGAACCTGGAGCCTGTTGGGCCAGAAAGTAAGGAAGTGTTTAAAGAAGGACAGGGAAGCCAGCTTGTAGGGCTCTCATGGGCCAAGTCTGGGACAATTTGAGCCTCCAAATAAATAATGATATTAGCAGATTATAATGAACTGAATAACATAGGAATCCACAAGTCCATAGTGAAACACATAATGAAATCAGTAAGTATGATTCGGGAACTTGATTTACTCTCACTTATCATTATTTACAAATTCTGTATTTGTGGATTTGCTCCTCACTAAAATTTATTTGTGAATCAAAATCAATATTCATGGCGCTTTCACACTCATTCTTGAACATGTGGAGAGCAATGAAAAATTTGAACTGCCCAACACACACGTTCCTAGCTGGGGTCAGATAAGGCAGCTCTCTGCCTTCTTGTTTCAGCTCTCGCACTGTGCACAAGTATTCTTTTTGCAGTCTATCTGGTGCCACATTTTGTAATTTTGGGGCAGTTTGTTGGTGGTTTCACTGTTTAAAATGCCTCCCAAGCATAGTGCTGAAGGCTGTCTATCACTTGTCAGTGCAGGAAGGCTGTGATGTGCCTTATGGAGAAAATACATGTTAGAAAAGCTTCATTTAGGCATGAGTGACAGTGCTGTTGGCCATGAGTTTAATGTTAATGAATCAACATATATTAAATAGGGTGTCTTTAAACAGAAACACACATGAAGCAAGGTTATATATTGACAGAAATGTTGTGACCAGAAACTCACAGGATCCTAAAAATGAATCAACATATATTAAATAGGGTGTCTTTAAACAGAAACACACATGAAGCAAGGTTATGTATTGACAGAAATGTTGTGACCAGAAACTCACAGGAACCTAACACCCTGTATTTTCCTAGGAGCAGTGGTCCAGTATTCACTATTTCAGTATTGGTGGTGACTTTGTGGAACATGACTACCTACTGACATAGCAAGAATTGACTGTACGTAGTTTCAGAGTGTCTCCCCACAACATACTTAATTACAAAGTGGAAAAGAATAACTTGACAGTGGAGGAGCCTGGCAGCTGATCAAGGTGGACATTATCAACAATAGTACAAGTCACAGTTGTGTACCACCTGATAGGATGTATTGAGAACATAGCATCACCTCTGAGTTTCTCAGCCAAAACTCCATAATATGAACCTAATCACGAGGAAACATTACACAAACCCAAACTGAGGAACATTCTTAAAAATAACTGGACTATAATCTTTGAAAAGCATCACAATCAAAGAAAGAGTTCCATTTTGAAGGAGACTAGAGAGACATAACAATCAAATACAACACAGATTCTGAACTGGATCCTTTTGCTGATAAGGACTTTATCAGGGCATTGGTGAACATCAAATGAGGACTAGGATTAGACCGTAGTAAAGTATTGTATTAATTTCCCGATGTTGATAGTTGCATTGTGGTTATGTAAGAAAATCTCCTTCTGAGGGTGTTGAGGTATCTTATTCACAACTTACTTTCAAATAGTTCAGGAAAATAGTTACTGGCACTGTACTTGGGACTTATTCTGTAACTTTAAGATTGTTTGAAAAAATTTAAATTAGTACACTAGAAAACAAAGATGTGATAAATAGTACTAACAGAGACAAAAGAAGAGATCATTTGCATTTAACTGGCTTGGGCAGTCAGAGAACAGTGAAGGTTCTTCGCACCAATGGAGCATGGCAACAGATTTCACAGAATAGAGACCAATGTCACATCTAGAGATACCATAGTCTCCTTACTGAAAATAACAAGTCATAGATCATATAGGCACTAAGAAGAATTTGCATCCTCCTTCATTTTCAGCCTGAAATTTCTTACTGCTGTAACCAGTGAGTCAAAAGCAGCAGAGACATTGCTATGACATTAAAAGCTTAATTTTACAGCTTTATGAAATATCACTATGGAACATTATCCTAGCCTACCACCAGCAGAGAAAATAAAGACTTGGAGAAAACAAGAGCATTAAAAATAACTTCTGTAAGAAAAGCATAAAGAGGTCGTGACAGGTAGAATTAAGAACTTGTATATTGTACAGCCGGAAGGTCATAGGATTAGAAAAGCATGACGTTGTGGGTCAGCAACATGAGGCCTGTGAAGGAAACCTCTCCATCATCAGTGCTTCCTGTCACGACCCCGTCACAGTTCTCCTAGGGAGAATTGGCGTGGAGAAGAGTTTACCAGCTCTAATTACAGGCTACCAAACTGTCCATTGTATTTCTCTGTCAATACATTACTTACAGTGTTTGTGAGGCAGGAGTAGTACAAATGGATGTAGGCTTAGGATTTTTGAAGTGACACTATTGCTTTGCAGATATGTGGGGGAATTAAAACTTAGTGGAATACTATAAAACAAGAGGTAATGGTGAAATCTTTTTAATAATGTGGAAGTAGTAATGTCCTTGGTGAGTCTGAGGACAATTTTTTTAAAAAATTTATTTTATTTTGTCAATATACAATGTGGTTGATTATTGTAGCCCATTACCGAAACCTC